AAATGGACACCAATATTCAGATTATTGACTTTAATCTGAATAAGACATTATGTGACAATGGTGTTCGTATGAGCTGCTGAAAGAATATTTAATTAATATTCTCGTTTACATGTCAAAGAGCAAAGCCTGGTTTTGATTTTTGTGCAGCTGCAATATGTCAACATCGCAAAATGCTAGAAGTTCACATCTTGATTCGATTATTGCTCACTTCTGTTTAAGGTAATCAGAAAACACTGTTGACGTTTATGTCTTATTCAGACTTGTCCTACTTGGATTACTATCAGAATATTGGTATCCATGTAAATGTATGCCCCGAAAGTCAGATTTAACCGTGAAGATTTTATGAGTTATGATTTGCTGACCACTTCCTGAAACCCATGGTTGGTTCCATCAACGCCAACGGGACACCGTCAACACATGCAAAGTTTCTGATGTCACACTTTGCATCGTAATGGCCTTTCTTTATTCTCTCAAGGGCAAAGTTCATGTTTCAAAAATCAATTATTTCTACCAGCAGGTGCAGAATGGATGAGAGAAGAGGAGAAATTAGAGCCAGACGACTGATTCATACTAAAAAAATGCAGAAGAAAATAGTGAAATCCTCTGCGAGTAGCCAAAAGTTTCTTTATCAGAACCGTACGCCTCGCTCATTTAATTATCGTTACAGAAGTTTCACAAATCACGAGAACAAAAAATAGGATTTATTGTCTCTGTCTCTGCCTCACTCCTCTGTTCTCCTCTTCACATGTTTAACCTGGATCTTTTACATACACAAATATTTGTCTCCAGTCGGTTTAAGGGCTCTGGGACACAATTTGTTCATTAGCTCTTTGCATCCCGCCCAGTCTGAAGAACAGCTACTACAAGCACGCCTGCTCGATTTCATACAAAGAGGAAATAAATCTTCTAGCGATGTTAAAATAGCTTTATGAGCCTTTATGTGCATCTGATGTCAGAAGTGAGACTTTGTATTGGTTTCTTTTTTAGTGTCTGTGGATTAACAGTTATTAAAGGGCCACACCACCAGTTTTTCCAGTGCTCATTTTGTACCACACCGATTCTGAAAACAGTTGCATCATGTTTTATTTAGCTCTGGAAAACATTTTTCAGATTTTAAATCAGTACATTCATTATATTCTCAAACAATTTAACAATGATCAAAATTGTGCTTCCGTTTTTTTTTTAAATTGAGTAATCTAAATTACTCACACATCTTAGTAGTAAAATAAACGTGCTTGATTGTGATACAGTTTAAACTTTCTAACTTCCTTGACAGTTGCCAAGGAGACACACTAAAAGTTAGAAAGTAGAGAAGAATCATTAATGATGAAGCTGCACTGGTACAACACAAACATAACAGTGTGGTGTTACCGTCAAACGTGTCAGGCCTGACTATACAGGTTAGAACACTGCTTCATCTTATCATCATCATCATCATCATCATCATCATCATCATCATTACCATCCGTGCTCCATCCTGTGCACCGTGGTCCATTGAAAGCAGCAGGTTAGTCGAGGTTTACATAAACACTGTGACATCTGAGCTCTGTGAGTGTGCCCGGGGCGATGTAAAGGTCAAGGAGAGAGCTGCCATTGTTCACGGGCCAGCTGGATGATCAAATCCCTCGACTTTCTCCCCCTCTCTCCGCGTCTCTCAGATGTGGTTCAATCTGTCGTCTGACAGAGGACACAGACGACTAGAGGCAGGACGAAGCTCACGGGGGAGACAGGAGAAAAAATGAGATTAAACAGTGTTTGAAAAGAGGTGCGGTTACCTCATGGTAGTCGTTGCTTGTATGAGCCTGTATCCTGAATAATGTGAGTCTACTTCAAATCAGTGTTCACAGCCTAAATACTTTTCAGTACCTCAATACTATTCAGTTACTACCAAAACGTTTCCATACAGTTTTAAAAACTGACAAGGACCAAAAGTTTGCTTCTCTCTTTCAAGTTTTTGAAATAATATTGAGGAATAATTGGAGATGGATGGAGCAGAGGGGGGCAGCACAGAGGACTAATGCACTGGACTGATACCTGTCTTTGGAAAAACACATAAATCATCAGATCACTCTTGTTAACGTCTGATACAAATAATGTCCTAAAGTTGTTGTTTCTTCATATTTATACCAGAAGTCATCTGAGTGAACTGTTAGCAGACAATCCAGCTCGTTCAGGTTTCCTCCCAACCTGACTCCGAGACTTGTTTGCTGCTCAGGATTAGGAAAACATGACGACATTTAGAAACCGGGGAGGCATGTAGTTCCTGAGACCGGGTGGAGGTCCGGTGTGCAGCATTACCCGCAGGAAGGCAGAACTGGAAAACAATGAAGTAATGGAGAGAGAGGGCAGAAGACTGAAGCAAGGAGGGAGAGTGAATGAAAGATGAAAGAATGTATAGAGAAGGAAAAGGAGGGGTGAGAGGTGAGGAAATAAGGCTCTGGTTTCTTTCTTCCCAGGCACCATAATATTTGGAGGGTTTTGCAATAAACTGTGACACCTAAATGTAAATGAATGTCTGTTTAGCTGCTCCCATGATGATGGATTTCCTCACGTTCGGTCTAAACTCCTCCTGTGTGGTCGTTATCGTCTCTGAAAAATCCTCAAAGTCATAAGTGTCAGCAGCATGTTTGGATCAAGAAACAGCACCAGGTAGTTAGCATTAGCAGCAAGAGCAGAAATACCTGAATGGACGAGGGCAGAAAGTTTTCACATCAGAAAAATCCAAAGTAAAACACTGTTCGATTGACAGATGCAGCGAAAATGAAGAAATGTCACCGCAATGACTGAACAAAGAATACTGGTCACACACTCACTCAGCTCTCATGGTGCACACACACACACACACACACACACACACACACACAGCTGCAGTTTCTTTGCTTATTGAAGAGATGTGTGAAACAATAGGTCAGCAGAGATCATGACGTCCAGGGGTTACAGTCACCACATACAAACTCTAGTATTAGTTTTTTTTTTTTAGAACTCCTTGAAGTTCTCTTCCCTTAAAGTCACAATCCTTAAGCTTTTCATTGCTCGGTCGATTCTGGCAGCACCCATGGTTACCACGGTAACACCAACTGTGGTTTAATACAGCGGCCACCTGCTCCTCGTTGAGCAGCTTATTTATCAGAAATAAAGAGGCCTCTGATGCAGCCGGACAAACGTGACTGTGATTTGGAGATGGTATGAGAAGGTCCGTAACACGACTTTGTGAACATTTTCACAGAGATTTTGACTTATAGACTATTTTACTACGTGTTGCTGTCAACCCACAGTCCGCAGGTGTAATATCGACATCTCTGATCGGTGGATCTTGCTGTTACCGTGGAAATGTTTATCAAAGCCGCGAACATCATGCGGGCTTCGATTCGGGTGGTTCGGCGTTAGCTCTCGTTCAGCCTGGGAGAAACCATGATTCCCCTCTCTGACGTTCTGTGGTCTGTTTAGCGATGAGGAAAAGTAAAGTCCTGAGGGGTGAAATTCACTGCAAGTCAGGTCACGTAGGTTAGTGAGGGCCAGCTCGAGGGTTTCTGGAATGTGTAGTTCCTTCACTCTTTAAGTAATCATCTACTCAGTCTTGCACCTTTTTCCATTTTTTTTTGTGTGCACACATACATTTCACCACCAGGAATACTGGTCTGATCATCAGGTCATAAAGATGCAGAGGTGAGCCAGCTCCTGCCAGGCAACATTCGATCAAACATATTCCTGCGTACTTAGTTTAGTGGACTTTGTGTTGTGTTGTCGAGAATGCTTCTGTGAGGAATTTCAGGGAGTATTGTTATCAGTTCAGTTTAAATGGAGCGATGGAGCAGGACCGGAGTCATAACCTGACATCCATCATCTCATCTCTGTTTTTTTCCTCCGTCCTCTCTCTCTCTCTCTCTCTCCGTGTATTTGCTCCTCTTCTCTCACACCGCACTAATTAATATGTTCTTTCTCCGTCTCATCCCTGTGGTCTCCTGAGGGATGAAGACTGCTATAGTGCATAACACAACAACAACACCTGCTGTACTCTGTGTGTGTCTGTGTGTGTGTGTGTGTGTCTGCCTCTGATATCCAGTAAAAGTTGCGTAGCATTAACATTTGTCCAGCTCAGTTCATCTTAAACATGGACGTGGGTGACATTCGCAATCTTATGCGTAAAACTCAGGCCTCGATTTTAGAAAAGGGTTTCCTGGACAAACGCATCAGTGAGCTTCAACATGTAAGTGCTTCAGTGTGACTTATCATCCTGTGCAATATTTGTGCTATATATATTTTTGAGAATTGTTTGTTTCACTTTAAAGTAGTAACTTTCCTCCTCCCACATTTGGACTTTGCTCAGTGTCAGATTTTAGAAGTGGTAAGATCACTTAAGGTTGTAAAGACTTTGGATGATGTTCAAACAGAAATCCTACACTTTGTTTAGCTGTGTGTGTTTCAGTGAATGTGAGGTCTGTGAGGTGAGTTTCTTGGCATTGGCCTGAATGTGCTCGATTGTGGGATGAAATGTTTGTGGGGGTGATTTAAGGATGTTCTCCAAATCCTCAAATATGTGATGAGAGCTTACGGGACAGAACGGTCTGCATGAACCTTCTGGGATTTGATTTTGCAGAGAAGTGGTAAAAGTGTTAATCGGACTAGTTTCAGTCATGACTCCTCCAGTGATTGTGGGATCACAGTTCAGTGTTTGTCCTGCTTCAGATTTACATTCTTCTCCCACCCTCATATCTACACCTGCCTGTGTCGGTCGGGGTATTAATCAACCCGTCTTCCATTGCTTTTTTTGTTTCTGGTTTCCTTTAGCTCGCCCTTTCCTTCTTCCTTAATGAGGATGGATTGTGTGAATGTTCATGATATATTCACTGACTGGTGCTTTTCTTTGGTCCCTCCTTTCTTTCTTTCTGTAATATCTGCTTGTGTGGGACCTGCAGAGTATGATGGATGAAGTGCTACACTACATAGTTTATGTTAATATGCTGGGTCTCTAACCCTACTCCTTCTTTGTCCTCCTCTAGGTGGTGGCTAGTGACGGGGTACGGGCTATGATGGAGTCGGCCCTGACAGCCAGAGACCGGGTGGGGGTGCAGGACTTTGTCCTGCTGGAGAACTACACCAGCGAGGCCGCCTTCATAGAGAACCTGCGCAAGCGCTTCAAAGAGAACCTCATCTATGTGAGTGTGACCCTGTGCTGGTTAATATAGATCGACCTAAAGCTCGGCTTGGTAACCATGAAAAAGTTAGTAAGAGCAGCCTCCACAAATAGGTTTTTGACTTTTTTCATCGATGGCTGCCGGAACTAAAAGAGGATTTCAACAAATTAGATAAAAAGGGTTTTGGAAACAAATTCCTCACCCTACCTTTCAATAATGATCCCATAAATTAAGCATCTTAATAAAGGTCCCTTCATTTTTCTTATTAAAGAATTATATGTATTATGAATATGAATTATAGAATCTGTAGGTGTGATAAGCTAACGTCAGACAGTATCAGAAAGGGCTGCTGTATAGTTGATAAAAAGTCTTGCTCCTCATCCCAGCATGACGGAGCAGCTGTCCAACAACCAGCCTTCGTTGTTGTTGAGTGTTGCCTGCCGGGGCAGTTTGTCTGTAGTCGTTTAGACTTGTTCTGTGTTTTTCTCCAATAGAGAATGAAAACAATTATTTGGTCTCACTGCAAAATTTAGTAGAGAGCGAGTTTCTGTTACTCACATTATTTTGTTGCTAACTCTCCCATAGTAACAGCTAATATGAACAAGTAAGAGGTGACGCACGAAGACAGTTTGAATCTGTATATGATATTGATGCTGTATGGTTGGACCTAGACCTAATGTTTTGTTATAGTACAGATGAATCATTTAAAGTGTATGTTCCCTTTCCATCAGACTTACATTGGTTCAGTGTTGGTGTCTGTTAACCCGTACAAAGACCTGGAGATCTACACCAAGAACCACATGGAGCGATACCGTGGAGTCAACTTCTACGAGGTCTCACCACATATGTGAGTACACACACTTAAAAATCTGCTGATTGAAAAGTTATTAAAGATAACGGTCAAATGGTGAAAAGAAACTCGTGTTATCCTGAAAATAAAGTCGGAATTTTACAAGAAAATAGTAAAACTTAGCAAGGAGAACTTGTGCTTCCTGGATTTTCACTCCGACTGAATCAAAAATCTTTCTACCAAACAATGACTTCTCCACAAAAGAGACACTCAATAATAAGTATAACATTATTTGTGAAACCTATATGAAAGATTAACCTAACACGATGCTCCACATTCCTAATTTTAACTCAGGCCACAGGCTGATCTCATGATATTCACCCTGTAAAATCATGCGTGCCTGAAATTATGACTTTATTCTCGTTAAATCACAAATTTTAATCTGATCTTGATGCTTGACGCTCTTTGAGATTTTCAAGATACTTGGCAGGAAAGTTGATGGGAGCATTTTGAGAATTTGCCACAGGAGAAACATTCACAGCAGACAGCATGTAAAGTGATTCCACACCCTAAAAGAAGAAGTGTGTTGAAGCTCGGTGAAGCTTTTCCTACCTCAGAATGACATAACCTGTGTTGCACCTGTATGCAAAACGTGTGTGTGTGTTTAAAATGCATTTGGAGAGTCCTCGCCTCCGTTCACATAGAACTGACTGTAGCTGCATTATGCTCTCATAGTTTGACAGTTCTTCTCTGTCAGACGTTCGCTCACGAGTCAGGAATGACTGGAGAGTTCCCTGTCAAATCAATCTAGACTCCGTAGGTCAGACACAAAACAATCGAGTGCATTATAGAGACTCTGTGGCGTCATCGAAACATTTCAGAATCTCTCACTAACTCTCTCTCTCTCTGCTCTACTGGTAATTATTTCCCCCGCTGTATTTCAGCACTTGAGTGTGGTGCCAATGTTTTCTCTCCGTCCGAGTGGAAAGAAAGATGTGCTTTTGCAAAGAGAGGAGGAATGCTGGAGAGAGCAAACGGGAGGGTGCGATGGAAAGTGAGCAAATGATGGTACGAGGAAAGAGATTTCCTCCCGTGAGAGGGAATTCCTCTGACCTGAACCTGACCCCCAGCTCCGCGCCCTCTCCAACATAGACCACACACACACACTCATACAGTATGATACAGCTATTTCCAAGGATCTGTATTTCATATCCAGCAATTAGTCTGATGTGTCCAAACTGGCTGAAACAACATAGCAGTGCTGATAGCAACACAGGGCTGACAAGTGATACCACAACTAGGCTCCATTCCAGCCTGGAGTCTATGATTCATACCGGCCGGCCGTTATCTGTGCAGGTTCGCACAGAAGCTGACATATGACGATTTTCCAGACACAAGTGTGATTCTCTGCAAACACAACAACATCATCATTGTAATAATTTGCTTTGTTTGACAATCACTCTATTGTTCTGAATTTGTTTCAATGATTTCACTGAGCTCCATTTAGTATATTTCTTTTATTTAAATAGATAATTAATGTTCTCTTCAACTGATATTATTTATATTTGGGTATTGAATTTATCTGTACCCGTTAAATAAGGTGATAAATGGTATTTCAGTGTCGTGCAGACAGTATGTCGTCATTGCAGGTGTAACCAGAATGTCACTCAGCAGAGCTCATATCTCAAAAGTCCGCTCATGAAAACAAATTTAAATTCACTACATCCAGATTTTTATTTTGATCTGCACCAGATAGCACACACTCATTAATACCAGGCACCTACATATGCCTGATTTTCATCGAGATCCATGATTTATTCTCTGAGACGTCAACAACAATTGGGGAAAAAAACATTCCAAATGTCAGATGCTTCTCTGTATCCACTCATTTTAAAGACGCCAAACGAAAATTGTTTTGACAAAATTTTATATCGTAAAATTTAACAGCCATAACAAATATTTGCTGCCTCATTAAAATTCCTGGCAAGCCAAAAACCTTTAGACCCTGAGCAAGAAATGTTCTGACATCATGTTTTCCTGTTTGCAGTCCAAGGTCTGTTTCAATAACACATGTTTTGTGTTTTAGCGTTTGTCTGTAGCTCTGCCAAACATCCTGCTGACTGTCCGCGTCTTTCCTCCCACTCCTCCAGCTATGCAGTGGCTGACAACTCGTATCGCTCCATGAGAACGGAGAGGAAGGACCAGTGCATCCTGATCTCCGGGGAGAGCGGAGCTGGGAAGACGGAGGCGTCCAAGAAGATCTTGCAGTACTACGCGGTCACCTGTCCGGCCAGCGATCAGGTGCAGACCATCAAAGACCGGCTGCTGCAGTCCAACCCTGTGCTGGAGGTGAGACGCTGCGGCACGTCATTCACCTGCGGATGCTCAGTGTGTGGACCGCGCATAGAGAGGGATTTTCAGATCGGTCCACAAAGACTCCTCGCGATGCTGAGTAATGAAGAAAGTGGCTGATATTGTAAAAATGAGATATTGACCTGTCAGCAGTATTTTAAATAAGGAGGTGATGAGCTGAAGGCAGCTTAAAGTTGTCATCCCAGTATTTGAGAACAGCAAAGACCTCATTCTTTCAGTAATCTGTTTAATGAGGAGACATTGTTTTCCTTTTATTTCACTCGTCAACTGTCAGAACAACCAGAAATTCCCTCAACTAGAATGGCACTCAGCCAAGGCCCAATAGGCTCCTTAAATCAAATCTGAAACATGCCTGATTTTTTTCCCCCTTCAACATCCATGAATTCTTCCCTGGAAAAAAAGTAAGAAAACGTCCCTGTGCTGTTAAAAAAGCGGGAAAAAAAAAATACCTGGATCCACCTCCTGATCCAGATGCGCTCTAAAATGTAATGGTTTTTTCCTAGACACCACATCCTTCCACCGAGTCTCATGGAAATGCGTAATCTGTGCTACTGTCCTCGACACACACTGTAGGGATCCAACACCTGTGGCTTCACTGCTGCTTTGTTGTCTTCCTTCCTGTCTTCATCGCACTTTCTTGTTCTCTGCTCCCCTGTTATCCCCACCCCCCCCTTAATCTGTCAATCATCACTCCTCTCCTCTCCTCTCCTCTCCTCTCCTCTCCTCTCCTCTCCTCTCTCTCCTCATCCCTCTCTATCCTCTCCACAGGCCTTCGGCAACGCCAAGACGTTGCGTAACGACAACTCAAGCCGCTTTGGCAAGTACATGGACATTCAGTTTGATTTCAAGGTGAGCCTGACAGTCCGAGTTACCGTGGCAACCATGAGTGAACGTTGTCAACAACAATTATTTTTCGTTGGGTGGTTGCTTGAAGCAAGAATATTGTTGCTTAAGAAATACATTTGCAGTCTCTGTGTTAATATAATTGTGATATAAATCAGATATATAATGATTTTGTTTCAAAAATATTGAATATAACTTTTTTAAGTATATTTAATCACCATCACTTTTTTCGTACCTCCGCATAATATACTATGCACTATCCGTACCTGCATGTTATATCAACCCTTCAACACCTCCTCAGTACCCCAGCCTCACCCACTCCTGCTCTTCCTCCTCCCCTCCCCCTCCCTGGTATTTGTCCCGTCGGCAGGGTGCCCCCATGGGAGGTCACATCATCAACTACCTGCTGGAGAAGTCCCGCGTGGTCCACCAGAACCATGGGGAGAGAAACTTCCACATTTTCTATCAGCTGATTGAGGGAGGAGAGGAGGACCTGCTGAGACGCCTGGGCCTGGAGAGAAACCCTCAGCAGTACCAGTACCTCGTCAAAGTAAGAGTCTGGTATTGTCCTTTTTGTGTCTCTGACGTGATGTCGAAGACGTTTTCAGACATAAACTCCTCTGAATGTCGACACAATGGGGTCTGGATGTTCTCTGGAGTTTGCCTGTCACACATGAACAACGCAGCAGGAGGTTTTCCGCTCAGACGTGTTCACAACAACACAGAAATCACCAAAAGCTCTCTTGACATCTTCCTCTGTGTCTTCTGTGTCTCATCCTTCATCTCATGTCAGCTCTCCACCATCCTCTGTCAAATAAAGGCAAAAAAAAAAAAAAAAGTAAAATACAAGAAGTTATTGTTTTAATCCTTTGATTCACCTGAGAGAATTTGGTACATGCTGTGTTTGGAATGTTATTTATTTCAAATGCACCGTGTATATTCATAGTTAACCCTCAATGACGTTATCCTGTAATCACGCCTTTGGTTACAGTCTTAATCATGTGTATATAGTGCAGGGACGGTGCAGGACATCTTTGTCCCACTCACACTTGCATTTTCTCTCTGTATCCTGTTAGAAGCCATCAGTCTGTACCGGGTGCGTCCCAGTGGGAGTTCTGCTTAATAGGCTCTTAGTCAGGGACTCTCAGTGCGGCGAGAGGAGCTTGTCTCAGTGGGGAACTACTCTGCCTTAAGGCTTTACTGCGACTGCTCAACAAAAACACCTCACCTACTGTATGTGTGTGTGTGTGTGTGTGTGTGTAGGTGTTAACTTTACATGTAAATGGGTGTTTACTTGACGTGGAATCACCCATTTACACACAAACTAGATGTTAAATAAAAAGCATGTTTACCAGTGTTTGTTTGTGTGTGTTTTTTCGTTTCCATTAGGGCAACTGTCCCAAAGTGAGCTCCATCAATGATCGCAGTGATTGGAAGGTGGTGAGGAAAGCCTTGGGTGTGATTGGCTTCAACGAGGACGATGTGGAGGTAAGGACCAAGTACAAGTTGTGTAAATCGAGTGTGTGTGAGGACATGGTCAGTGAGTCCTATCCTTTTCAATTCCTCTAGAAAAGTACAACCTAAGCTTTGCTTATCTTCCAAGTCGCTCATAAAGATAATGTCGACAGTAAAACCTTACAAACCTTATTGTGCCGCAGCCTCTCATCTCTCCACCTTTGTTCTCTCCTATCTCTCTCTCTCATACGTCTCTCTGTATTCTTCTGTCTTGAACACCACCCTCTCATTCGTTTCTCTACCTGTAGGAGTTGTTGAACATAATCGCCAGCGTGCTGCACGTGGGAAATGTGCAGTACGGCGGGGAGGAGGGCAATGCCTGCATCACCTCTGACACACAGATAAAGTACCTGGCCAGGGTAAGATGCTGAACTCAACAGGTTCATGAACACTAACACAACTAACAGACCAAGGGGAATAGAATGAAAACAACAACAAAGGCCTGGGTTCATATTTATTAGCATCTCGGAATCCCTCCTGGGAACTGCACTGACTAGGAGTCACTGACTGTGCAGGTGATACAATGGTACAAGTGCCCGTATCCCGCAATCACAGAGCTTGGTAAATAAATTAACTGATGTTAGTAATGTAAAATTTGACATTTAAATAAAAATATGTTTTTAATCTCAGCACCAAAAGGCCTCTTAAAATATGGCACAAAGATGAATGTGATAAAATAGTAGGTTTTTGATGCAGTTGCATAAATGAAAACAACTCTGTCCAGTTACACTAATTAATCCTCATGAGCTTCATATGGAACAAGTGTCTAAATCCACCAGACATTTAGTTTAGAATACGTATATCCACATACAGTGTGTACAAATGCAGGTGAGGACATTCTATCCTGCACTACAAACAAAAACTACATATGTAGATTATTTGTATGCATATGAAGTTATTCATTTATTTTTGCTTCAGTCTTTCAGTTGTTCTTGTTGTCAGCAGATATCTTACCCACCATGTCACTGCTGCTGAGTGGCATGACGACATCTGTTTTCCTGCCTGCAGATCATTTATTTGTCACTGGTGGAGCTGTGTTGTGTTCTAACCTTGTTGTGCTTCTCCAGTTGTTAGGAGTGAATGGGGCTGTGCTGACAGAGGCGCTCACGCACAAGAAGATAATTGCCAAGGGAGAGGAGGTAGGTTTGCATACACACTGTCATCGTGGAGCCGGTGTGTGATAATTATTTTTATACAGAGCTCTCCTCTCTGTGTAATGTCTGTTATTGCCAGTGTTTGACGTCTCTGCTCTGTCTCTCTCTCTCTCTGTCTCTCTCTCTCCCCCTCTCTATGTGTTTGTTTCTTAATCAGCTGATGAGCCCGCTGAACCTGGAGCAGGCATCATCAGCTCGGGATGCTTTGGCCAAGGCAGTGTATGGACGCACCTTCACCTGGCTGGTTAACAAGATCAATGCCTCACTGGCGTACACGGTACACACACTATGACACTCATATGTCATTATACTGTACAGTATCAACATGTAGTTCAGACAGAGCGTGACAATGTCTCCTGCTTATTTTGTAGCTACACAGCTCCACCTTGTGGACATTTACAATTTCCACAAAGTGAACAACATTATAACATGTTTGCAGAGACCTTTCATAGAAATAAGGACGTGTTCTGTATGTTTCTCTAACAGGATGACTCCTATAAGAATTACTCTGTCATCGGTCTACTGGACATCTACGGCTTTGAGGTCTTCCAGCACAACAGGTACGGTTTAAATTTGTGGTCCATTTTTGATTCAGCACAGACACTGACAACTTATTTAGGGCTCAGGATGATTCCTATGTGTCTTTCATGTAATATTGTGTCTTGACTGGTGCAAATAGTCCAAAGGCTCATTCGAGACACATTTCTGATGATGTTAGACGACTCGTGGTACAAACCAGTTGATATCTTATCTCAAGATAACACTAGAGGCCTGACTCTCAAAGTCATGCAGTCCCGAAACAATGAGAAGTCCAACATATTAACGATCCTGTGTCTTGTTATTTTTTATCCAAGCTAAGCTGTTTTTGTTATGTGCTTCAGCTTCGAGCAGTTCTGCATCAACTACTGCAACGAGAAACTGCAGCAGCTCTTCATCGAGCTCACCCTCAAGTCAGAGCAGGAGGAGTACGAGGCCGAAGGCATCACGGTCAGACATCCTTCTTCTCCACCTCACTGTCTGCTTCCTCTCTCCCTTCACCCCCTCCAATGAAATGATGTGAAAACCTGAGTCGTGTTGCTCAATTCTCTGTTAGAAATTAATCATTTAACCCTGTTAATGATCTTTTATTTATTCATAAGTAACCTTTTAAAAGTCTGAATAAACACTATGTGTGTTGGTATGATCCTTCATTTCTATTTGTTGCATTTCTACTGCGTTGTTTTGCATCTTTGGAACAAGGGGCCTTTTTGTGTTCTGCCTAATATAATTGCACTGGTCAGAGAGAAAACAGGTTGTGGGAGAAACTTGGATTCACCTCTCAAAGAGCCTATTATCATGTGTCATCGGGACTGTGGGCCGCACTGACGGTCATCTCTGGGAATTATGTGGCAGTTACTCCGAACATAACCAAACATTCTCACTAAGCCTGTGGAGCTTTGAGTTCATGCCTGTTCACAAACAAGTGGGTGAGCGACGTGTACGTGTGCCAGGATTCCTGTAATTCTGCACACGATTGACTTAACGGTCGTTAAATAGAATAGAACAGATGAAATTGTTTTTTTAACACTAAACTTTTGACCCTGGGGAATAAAATAGATGGCAGAGGCTTAAACACGGTGTCATTATTGATACCCAGCACACGATTCATTTTCTTATGATGTCTGAAGTATACAGTGGTTTGTGTTTTCAGTGGGAGCCGGTGCAATACTTCAACAACAAGATCATCTGTGACCTGGTGGAGGAGAAATTCAAAGGCATCATCTCCATTCTGGTGAGGAGACACTCTGCTGCAAAATCCTTTTAAAACTTTGTGTTCATCCTACCTGGTTTATCTGCAATTAAGATCTTATAGTCAATGTTTTTCATAAAAGGAAACTGAAGCGTGTCGTTTTTTCTGCTGAGATGAATAATCAAATGTGATGTAATGTGTTAATTGAAGTGCTTTGGAGGTGTTGATGTGAATATTTTATCAACTTTGGACAAACCCACACAAGCTGTGTCCCCCCTGCTGACATATTCTTTACATTAAGCTAATCGTCTGTTTTCCTCGTGTGAGATCGTGACTGACTGCTGCTCTCTCTCTCAGGATGAGGAGTGTCTGAGGCCCGGAGACGCCAGTGACGTCACGTTCCTGGAGAAGCTGGAGGACACTGTGGGAGGACATGCACACTTTGTCACGTAAGTCTGATCTATTGATTTGATAATCTTGTCATCTGTAACTCCCGCAATAACACACATAATATCCTGTTTGCTCGTGGTACCAGACTTTGAACAACTGCTCACGTCTCCGGTCTGTTTGTTGCTGTGTCTGTGATGCGTGTGTCTGTTTCCTGCAGTCACAAGCTGGCTGATGCGAAGACCAGGAAGGCGATGGGTCGTGATGAATTCAGACTGCTGCATTACGCTGGAGAAGTCAACTACAACGTCAATGGTGTGTGTGGGCTAATAGGTCGAGTGGTTATAGGGTTAGGAAGATCGGCCGTGGCTGCAGGACCAGTATGACATCATGTCTTTTGGTTTGGTTGAATGTAAGATGATAAAGAGTAGATGTCAGGGCTTTGCACATTTAAAACTTAAAAACTGAATGAAATAAATTCCAAAGCACTGTAATTGATTTACTGATGGATGTGAACTTTTTATCGCCTCCTCAGGATTTTTGGACAAGAACAACGACCTGCTCTTCAGGAACTTGAAAGAGGTGAGACTGAGTTTAGGATGAACAGGAAGAGAACTCAACGAGGGGAGTTGATATGATGGGAGGCAGCATTAGAACATGTTAACTGCAAAGGTTGTTTTATTTTGACAGTGTGATGCTGGCGGTGGAAAGTCGTGATTTAAAATGTCCTGTGTGTGTCTGCAGGTCATGTGTATGTCAGAGAACAAGATCCTCAACCAGTGTTTCGACAGGGAGGAGCTGAGTGACAAGAAACGTCCTGATACAGTGAGATACCTTATTTGTGTGTTTGTGTGTGTGTGTGTGTGTGTGTTGAGCTTTTCACTCCTATGAATCATGCTCTCATGCGTCCCAGCATACTTTCCCACAGATAAACAAACAGTGGTGTGTTTCCCTCTCCAGTGGGGGGGTCTTGATGGGGATTCTCTGCGACCTCCCTCTCACTGAAGAATGCCCTGACACTTAATGCCCTTCACATACACACACACTCTCAGACACACACACACACACACACACACACACACTTGGAAAAGGGTGCTGTCACAGGCTGGTAAGTCAGGAGTCCCAGGCATCCACACTGGGCCCAGTGTTCAGTCTCTACTGGACTGTCACAGTCACATCAGCCACTCCTCTGTTTACGTAGCTCTTCTTAGGTCATCAGCTTGTCTGTAGGCTTCCACACTCATCCGCCGCTCACCTCCTCACTTTCTGCTCTCCTTCAAGTCCCTCACTTACTGACTCGTGTCCTTCCCCGTCCTCTCACCTCCTTCTCCATCACTTCCTAACCAGCTTCTGTCTGTCTGCGTCTGCCCTTCCAGGCAGCCACCCAGTTCAAAGCCAGTCTGGCGAAACTCATGGAGATCCTCATGTCCAAGGAGCCGTCGTACGTCCGCTGCATCAAGCCCAATGACTCCAAGCAAGCAGGTACAGAGTCTAGTGTTGTTATTTTGCTCAGTGTGGCGCCGGATAGGAACGAAGAAATGCATAATATTGTTCGGTAAAAGAGACTGGACATTGTGTGATGGTTTTTGTGGAACGATGTATTAGAACATGGAGCTTTCTAGCATTTTAACGCTTAATCATGGTTTGACTTTCCCTCAAATTGTCCACATATTGTCCTCATGTTAAATATTTTACTTTGAAAACCTGCTTTTGATGTTGGACATTCTGAAAAACCTTTTATTTACAAAAACCTGTTTATTGATTCCAGAAGCAAAAGGCTGTTGAATGTTCTCTGTCTGAATTTCTCTTATTTATTTGTTCTTATTTCTTATATAATTCTTATTCTTAATAGAATACTTTTAATTGAGTTATCAAGTCTCAATTTATTCAAATTATAACATTTATTATTAAACACACTAAAGGTTTCCAGTGGTTTGTTGACAGTTTAATGTAACATTTGCTGCAAACAGAATAGAAGCAGCTTAGCAGCTTCAACGAGCGGATAATTCCCCTGATATTTTGCTGCTAATCAGGAGCTTTCACTAATTCCAACCCAAACAGTTTGTTTTCAGCGGCATCAGAGGCCGCAGTGTGACTCTCCGTGTGGTCGTCAGTATATTGACCCGGCCTTTGTTTCTCTCCACAGTCGGCCTTTTGTCCATTTCACACAGTTTCTCTGTCCCTTGTCACTCCTACTCCTGCTGTTTAGCATTCACTGGTTTTCTCTGGTTCATTTTGTCCAACAAGATGTTACATTTCTCTCAGACCCTGCTCTCTCTCTCTCTCCTCCCTGTGCCCAGCTCGATTTGATGAGGTGCTGATCCGTCACCAGGTCAAGTACCTGGGACTGATGGAGAATCTGAGGGTGAGGAGAGCCGGCTTCGCTTACAGACGCCGCTACGAGGTCTTCCTACAGAGGTGATCACACACTTTCCCTTTTACTACTCGTGTGGCACAATCACACGTCAGCACTTTTTTTATATCCACACTTTCATGTGCTTTTGGTGGACAACAAATATCAGCTCCTAATTTAGTCAAATTATTATTTAGATCAGGACTTCTTGTTATGACGTGATGTTTAAACGACTTTTAGGCTTAATTCCGAAACCAATTGAACTTGTTTGTGTTTGTTTCATATGTTCATGAAGGTATAAGTCCCTGTGTCCAGACACGTGGCCTAACTGGCAGGGCAAGCAGGCCGATGGAGTGGCCACACTGGTCAAACACCTGGGATACAAGCCGGAGGAATACAAACTGGGAAGGTGTGCAACACACACACACACACACACACACACACAGAGATAAAGACACGCAAATGTGTTAAATATTTAAAAAACTAGTTTTTACTCATTAAAAACCTTCCACCTCATGATTTTTATATCCTCTTTATACTGTTTGACGTGTTTGACATGTTTGTAAAACACTCTGTTGGGTGATACATCTGTTTTTTCAGATCCAAAATCTTCATCCGTTTCCCAAAGACCTTGTTTTCCACCGAGGATGCGCTAGAGACCAGGAAACACAGTATTGGTAAGAGTCAGTGAGTCATGACATGGCCGTCTACCTAACAGATCTTGTGTCAGAGATCTTAACTGTTCTCCCGTCGCCCTCTGTCTCCTCACAGCCACCAAGCTACAGGCGGGATGGAGAGGCTACAGTCAGAAGTCCAAATACCAGAAGCTCAGAACCGCAGGTGAAGACTTACTCTCATCTTTCCTGTGATCAAGCTGCGTTTTCTTTCCTTGACAGGTTATTTAACTACAGTGTGTCTGAAGATGGAGTCATAGTTTGTTTGGGAGCTGTAATGTATTTAATGTGTCTTGCAGCTATTGCCATTCAGGCATGGTGGAGGGGGATCCTGGCCAGGAGGAGGGCCCAGCGCAGGCGTCAGGCTGCTGACACCATCCGCAGGTACAGACCAAAGAGGACAAATCTGATTCACTGTGTGATAACTTCACTTTCAACACCAAGCAAATGGATTCATTCACTAGATGCCATCATCAATCCCTTTTTTTTTTTTTAAAGAGAATATATTTATATTGTCCCTCGTCTCACCCTCAGGTTCATCAAGGGCTTCATATACCGCCACAAGGAGCGCTGTCCAGAGAACGAGTATTTCCTGGATTACGTCCGCTACTCGTTCCTCATGAAGCTGCACAGGAACCTGCCCAAGAACGTCCTGGACAAGAGCTGGCCAGCACCTCCAGCTGCTCTCACTGAGGTACATACGAGATGCAGATGGTGGAGAAAAAAGATACAAACCAGAAACTCAGATTAGGATTTGACCGAGGACCCTCTAATCTGTTGTGTGCACACAAAAAACGTGATTTCTTCTATATTCAGATTAAATTTGAAAGATGAAAATAGTTTGTATGAATGGGAAATCTGATCCTAGTTGTCTCTGCTTCACATGCAGCACTACTGAAAAAGGAACTTTAATGAAAACTCTCTCTGTCTTTCTCTTTAGGCATCAGAGCATTTGCGTAAGCTGTGCATGCAGAACATGGTGTGGAGCTACTGCAAGAAGATCAGTCCTGAGTGGAAACACCAGGTGACTATCGGCCCATCTCCAGTCGCGTCAGGCTCTGTGTGATCTGATACGTGTGTGCTGCTTCCTTCATTTACATCACTGACATCTACTCTGTGTGATTAGTTGGAGCAGAAGATGATCGCCAGCGAGATCTTTAAGGACAAGAAGGACAACTACCCACAGAGCGTGCCCAAACTGTTTGTCAGCACAAGACTCAGTGAGACTCCGATGTTTTTGAGAAACTTCACAGACTTCACAGTTCACACAATGAAACTGATTGTAACAGCCTGTGTCCTCTGGTTCAGATGGAGAGGACATCAACCCCAAGGTGCTGCAGGCTCTGGGCAGTGAGAAGATGAAGGTCTGTAGAGAAATGCTTTCAAACAAACAGCTGTTTATAAACTGTGGCTTCTCTTCACCATCGGTGTTTTCACTTCTGTTCCCAGTATGCAGTGCCAGTCACCAAGTACGACAGGAAAGGCTACAAAGCTCGACCCCGCCAGCTGCTCCTCACCGGCAGCAGCGCCGTGATCATAGAGGAAGCCAAACTCAAGCAGCGCATCGACTACGGAGCTCTGAAAGGTCAGAGGTCAATGAGATGGAGTCATCGTTGCTAAGGGGGATGTTTTTTTTTTTATGGATGTCGATTGTGTTGAGCTCATTAAAGCTTACAAACTGTCCTTCTCCTGCAGGGATCTCAGTCAGCTCTCTCAGCGACGGCTTGTTTGTTCTGCACGTGCCCAGTGACGACAACAAACAGAAGGTGAAGCCGAGGATGTGTCTTAAATTCACTGTGAACGCTACACAACCTCTGCAGGTCGGAGTTTGTATGGATGCGTGTGTTTTCACTGTGGATCTGTTCTGTGGTTTTGTTTCCAGGGAGACGTAGTTCTGCAGAGTGACCACGTAATTGAGACCTTGACCAAGATTGCAATCTGTGCCGACAAAATCCACAGCATCAACATCAACCAGGGCAGGTGAGAGGCAGAGCACAAACATGGAGCTCCCACACGATGCTGATCCAACATTCCTTGTAGACACATGTTCACTCGTACACATGGTAGAAGGTGGAGAGTGGTTAAAAGCGGAGACACCAGTTAACGTCTCTCACTGTTCTTCTGTTGCTTCTCCAGTATAAAGTTTACATTGGCTCAGGGGAAAGAAGGGATCATAGACTTCACACCTGGATCAGAACTACTGGTGGCCAAGGCCAAGAATGGACACTTGTCTGTGGTGAGTGGGTAAAATCATCCATCCAGATATATTTCTAGAATATTAAATATTCTTTACCGAACAATGATTAAAGTTCAAGTTCTGGAAAAACGTTTTTATTCCTGTGTTAAGACAGATAAGTTTTGACTGTGTGGGTGTGGTGTGATCAGATTTGATTGACAGTTGCTAAATCTTGATTGGTGCCAGACACATGCGACATTGCACTCTCTTAAAGAAAATATCTTATTAAGTTATTGTAAAACCCTCATCTTATAAGTGGAGCTGATTGACAAAGTTAAAATTCAAGTGTTATTCTGTGACTGCGGCTCATCGCACCGGACAAGGATGTATAAAAATTCAGTTAATGTAGGTTTAACATCTTTTGTTGTCTATTGTCTGCATCTGTCCTGAAGTTAAAGTTACTGACATTTGTCTCCTTTGAATCTCTTCCAGACGGCTCCCAGACTCAACTCTAGATGATGGCCACTCTAAACTAACACCCACAGACACACACACACACCCATACTATACTCCAATCACACGACTGCAGACCCCGCTCTGCGTAAGCCAATCAAATGCCAGCTGTCTCTGCATAGTCGGCATGTGCTTCCAATTAAAAAAAAAAAAAAAATCCAGCAAAACTAATTGATATATTTATGTTTATATATTATATTTTTGGGATTAATACTGTTGCTGTTTGAATATTCTGATTTTATATATGAGGCCAAGGAATAACAATATTTTGGTGCATTTTTCTTGCACCATGTGTGTTTATTGTGATTTATTTGGGAACATGACCAAGAGAACGATGAGGGAAGAGTCCGAGTTTGAGACAACAATGAGAAGTCGATTGTTGTCGATGAAAATCAGGGTTGGATGTTGCTTGTTGCCTCTTGTTTTTCCTTTTATTTTTTCTGTTTACTTTTCCTGCTTGACTAGAAGACTTGATCGTCTTGCTGACCCTTCTTTTCTTACTGGGGAAAATGACTTCTTATTGAGGCATGACGGTGTGTAAGAGCCCAGCTGACAGTTTGTAGGAAATCTGTGGAGAGCTTCAGGGACGAGGAGGATTTAAATCAAAAGGCCAGTAGTGTCAGACTCAATCAAAACGAATAGTTGGATTTACTACTGAATAGATTTTAAACATCTGTATTTGTAAAGTAGGAAGCTGGAACGATTCAAATCATGAAAAAAAAATAAATAAATCAGCATTGCAGTGACAACGCTGCAGAAACGAACAAAGCAAGTGAAGAAGTGTGAGTGGAATGTGAGAAGACAGAATGCAGCCGTGGTTTGCTTCATCACCAGGTGCTCGCACCTTTCTCCTTCACCGATGTGTCGCTAACGAGTTCGCTCAAGAGCTGAACATTAATGTACGAAAAAAGAATGACACTCTTTGCCACAGGAGTGAGTGGAGCTGAGGGTGGAGAGAGAAAGTCCTCTGACTGGAGGCTGTCAGCCTCTTACTTTAGTTTCCTCCTCCGTGTGTCTGGACCTGACCTGTGCTCAGCTTCCGCGTCTCTATGACGACCGTTGTCATGGCTACCTCTGACTTGGCTCTGACCAAAGTTATTAAATTTCACCAAAGGCCGTCATTTCTTTAGTCGTCGGAGAGCATCCCTCTTTTTCTTCTTCTTCTGTTGTTTTTACAATTGTTTGCCTGTGATAGCTCGTCGAGATCCATAACGTGAGACTAAAATTAGTTTGAAGTCATATTAAATCTGGAATTAGCAAAAAAAAAATGCTAGCAAAGGCCAAAATCTATATGTTTATTTAGGTTGAAGCTGCTAACAGCTGCGTGCGTAGATATTCCACATCTTTAAATGTGAACTTTTTAAAAAAGGAATGGTTTCAAATTTTGGTTAAGACACTTGTTGATTTTCTTTTTTGGAGATTTTTCCAGTGGATTGTTATCACTCTCGTGTCTGTGCAAGTATAAAGATCCAAGCAGGAGATTGCTAGCTCGCCTTAGCATTAGAGGACGTCGCTTCGGCGTTAGGAGCTAGCTTCGGAGATGGGCGCTAGCTTAGCTTTGAGGAGAATCACTTGCTTGGCTTCGTCCAAAGGTTAAAAAACACACCTCAGTAATGGTTTTAATACACATATAAGATATTTAGTTTGTTTAAATAATAAAAAAAAACAATGTTTAATTAGAAGATATCAATTAATGAGGTGTTGTGGAGCTGTTGTTCACTGTTTCTCCGTTTTTTTAGCCTTTATGCTAAAACTGAAGCTTCATATTGGGCACAAAGACATAGAACTTTGACCCATTTAGGGCAAAAGAACGTCAAATTGGCATCAAAATTGATGTGGAAGTCTTAAGAAATTTCATTAAATTAAATACAACAGTGAAATATTTTTTCAAGAAAACATGAGATGAAGTAAAGAGCCTCTAACAGACTGTTCAGTTCTACTATCAATATCTCTTTATCCTAACCCGACTCCGGCCCCTGGCCCCCCCCCCTCACACCTACAGGTGAGACCAAAGACTGACGGTGAAAAAGTTGTGTTCTTGAAAACATTTTGAGAGGAGCTCCAAATCTTTTCTTATTTTTTTTCCCGAACCTTGTCGTCGACAGAACTTTTTCTTGGCGCGGCTTCTGGGTGACGAGGCAGGTGCAATATGCCGAGGCAGGACTGTGCTACTGCACTTAACCTATACTAGCCAAAGACCCTGTTGATTTATACTGATTCTGTGTATGATTCATATGGTAATATTATGAATGTCGTGTTTTATTTTGTTTTCACGAGGGTTTGTACAGTTTGTGTGTCTGTGTCATAACTGAGAGTTTCAAGCCGAGCGAGGTTTGATGATGTGAAACATTTGGAGAGAAAGAGCTTTTATTGTTTTGTTGACATGTTCACGTGCCTTGTTGGATAGCAATACGACAGATGTGTGTGGAAATAAAAGAAATATACCTCCTGGACAGAGTCGAGTCGTGGGCTGGAGACGGTCGTCCGGCTAGGTTTCCCAGCAGCCCCTGCAGGTTGCTTTCCCTGCGTGTATAAGCTTTATTCAAACCAAACCCAAAGTTTGTCTGTTGATTTACAGTTGCACTCCTATTATCAGTCCTGACTTACTGTACGCACCAAACCAATGTATAATTACAGCACACTAAAAATAAGATACTACAGATTGAAAAAAATAAATTTCAAAAGTAAATGCATACTGATGAATCGCTGTTGGCTCTTTATTCTTTGTTTGCCTCTTGTGTGTGTGTGTGTGTGTGTGTGTGTGTGTGTGTGTGTGGGTCTCAGTGGTGTTTGTTTGTTGACAGGATGTGTGTCCTCTTCAAGTTAGGAAGGACAAGACTTCTTTACACATGCTCAGATAAATGTATCATTTAATTCAAATTAATTATGGTAGTTTTAAAGCTCTTGAGTGTAGAAACCTCTGAATTCCAATGACTATTAATTAAGGCCATATTAACACCAACCTGTTGTCATGTAACATCAAAACAGAAAGCAGGAATTCTTGATATGTGGCTTAAATGACAATAATTAGACAATGCTATAGATTTAATTAAATTAAAAATCATCAAATGAAACCTGGAGTGGAGGTGACGTTTTCTTATTCCACTGCTTTATTCATTTGAATGTGTATAAAGTATTTACTGCTGAGCTGTTATTTGGAATATACACCATCGGGTTATCTCTAGTAAAAAATCAGACATGCTTAGGGGACTGATATCCATGAACGTTTTGAATTTGGTTGCAGATCCAAATAAATATCTGGATTTAGTAGATTTAAATGGGGTTTCATAAGGGGACTGGTGGGCCTCACTGCTATTGTAGTTTCATGTATTTAAATTACATTTTTAGAGATAAGAGTTCTCAAACCACAAGCACAAACAAAAAATATAACAGGATTCTGGTGATTTTAGTCTTCAGTGTAAAACCTTGTACAACATTGTAAAAAATAAAGGAATAGAAACTCTGGCATGTTGGTCCATCTAAAGTGAAATACCCTGTATAGAATTAAAAAGTCATCGTCCATCAGAAAAAGACAGAATGTTAGAATTCATCATCAAACCTGTTTTCCAACTCTTTTGAGGCTCTGGATCTGACAGTGATGTGCATGAATCCATCGTGGCTGCAAAAAGACACTTGACCATTTGACATTACCATTTACTTTGCAGGTAACTTCACATGAAGACACACAGTTCAGTGGCCCTGCTCTGACAGGCCAGCAGGTGGCGCCTTTGGTTTGAATTTCTCCCCCAGTGTTTTTAGTTTACAGCTGTTTTTCCACTGGACCATGTGAACCCCCCCCCCCCTCGTCCTGTACTTCTAGGAATTACAGGCCTGGCATGAAGTGTGAAGTATACAGTGAATCACGTCACGTGCACGGTGGGACAATGCACATATGTGTAGTGTAGGTGTGGCAGCAGTGTGAGCAGAGACCCGGTACACTCTGGAAACAAGGAGAGGTTCGAGTGGAGTTTAAACTGGAACAAAAGAACTGTGTTGGAGATGTTTAATCCAGATTCTCTTTGTTCATATGTGGTTGAAAGCAGAGTGACACTGTTTTTAGCGCAGAGCGTCTTTGTTCGATTGTGTGAACAACTATTTCAGGCTCATAATCAGTGTTAATTACTTTAAATAACTTTTTTTTTTTAAATCAAAACTACTTTTAAGGTTCATAATTAAATCAATTTTTCCATTGCAACATTCACTCCATTGTATGCTTTTCAAAACAAAAGCCTTGTAGTCCCCTGTCTGTCCTCACACTTTGCACAACTGTTTTCTCAATGGTGTGGTTTTTTTTTTTTTTCATTTTTCTTTCTCAGTATTGAGAAACAACACACATGTAGAATATTTGAAGCTCTCTGATTGGCTGGTGCGTCTCTAGCTCAGCCGCGGACCAATGGGGAGGCGCTGTTGTTTGTGCGCCGCTTCTCTCGCTCCTATAAAGTCCTGCAGCAATGAGGGATGAGAGGAGACATAAGAGGAGTCAGACACATCACGGAGACGTGTTTTTTCTACGTGCGAGCTGCCGGAGCTGCTCTGTGTTTGTCTGCCGTCGAGGGACGTCCTGTCCAGGGATCTGACTGAGGCCGGAGCCGCCGAGCTGCTGCTGCTGCTGCTGCCCCTGAATCCGCACTCACAGGTAGGGAGGGAGGGGAGGGAGGGGGGGAGGGAGGATGCTCCGCTGCTGCTGGAGCTGGAGGTGGTGGAGAGGAGGGAGGCTGAGTCATGACTGTGTCGGTGAAGGAGTCCCCGTCTCCCTGTGTCCCACTCGGTCTCTATACATCTTGTCCTGGTCCCTTATTGTTTGTGTTTGTCTGCAACAGCCTGCGACCAACTTCACTTCACTGCGGTGTGTTTGCACAAAGTCCTGATCGTGCATGTGTGTGTGTCTGTCTGTGTGTGTGTCTGTGTCTGTGTGTGTGTGTGTGTGTGTGTCTGTGTGTGTCTGTGTCTGTGTGTGTGTGTGTGTGTGTGTGATATCAGATTATATGAGTCACACTAGTCTAATCACCTCTTCATCCCCACACATGACGACAGTTCAGTGTGGATCCTCTGCTGCTCCATGTGTGCAAGTTGGGTTTTTTTTTTTATTTGATTCGTGGACAGTAAAAACATCCATGAAATAAAGCAGAGGGACAGAGGAGTGTGTTGTTTTGTCCCCGTGTCTTTGTCTCAGCAGCGGGACGGTGACTCCCGGACTGTTGTTGATGCTGAACAGCTGAGCGCCACTTGAGGAGCAGTGCGTCGAGCAGCTGGGACACAACACAGCCACAATCCAGGAAACCAGGGGCTTTGACTTCACAATAAAACACACAGCCACAAAACACTATCGTCAGCTCGAGCGTAGTGTCCTGGGGTTGATGTTGTGGTGGAGGATGCATTCAAGTAAAAGTAAATAGATGTACTTGAGCGAATCTGCTTTGTACAATAAGTATTAACAGTAAAAGTACTTGCATGGTCTATTCCATAATGGTGAATATATCATTACAATTGCTTTGGCTGGTCCCTTCTTTTCTTGTGTATAGATACTTTAAACATTGACCTACCTCTCCATTTATATCAGATGCTGTCTTGTCTCATCAATATGGTAGATATTGTTGTTGTGTTGTGGTTTTTCCTCACTTTTGTTGAGGGTTTGTCACAGATGATGTCCCACCTTGAGGCAATTGTGATTTGGAAATATCCTTCTTTGTTTTTATAACATTAAACAAAGTGAGTGCAGGCTCAATATTTTTCTTAGAAATATTTTCTCCCAGTGCAGTAAAATCCCTTCCGTTTAACTCTTATTTTGAATTGAGTCACCGGAAGAGCTGTGTGTTGCTCTCGCTGACTTGACTCCGTGGCAGGGAGAAGGATGGAGACGCAAACTGGGGGGGGGTGATGATGATGAGGAGGAGGAGGAGGAGGAGGAGGTGATTTCAGTCCAGTTCAGACCAGTTTCTGCTCTGCTTCTCATTCACCGCAATATAGTTGTTATTCTTTTTGTTCTCAGTGTAATGATGGAGGACAGAGTGAGGTCTGATGGAGTGATGAGATGTGAGGGAGGAGGAGGACGCTGCTGCAGGGACAGTGTGTTGTCCTCTGCAGGGACATCAAGTTTCTGCTCTGATCAAAAACAACAACAAACATCATTCAAACACAAGTGCAGCGGATTCAACACACACACGTTCCATGTACACAACAGCTGGAACACAATAGAAACACTCCTGTTGTGTACACGCGTCGTGTCACATGTTTTTGTGTAACAATCACACACTACACAATAAAATAGCTCATGATTTATTCCCATGTTATCAAAAGGGTTTTTTATTTAGTGAATACATTGTGTGAATATGTTTTTTA